GAAGATGGCTGTGAGTGCATGGCCAGACTGGGCTACACAGTGAATCCCCTAAACTACATAGCCAAACCCTGTCTCTAAATAAATAGATAAATAGATAAATGAGTGGATAAATAAATAAATAAATAAATAGTAAAATGGGGGGCTAGAAAGATTACTCAGTGGTTAAGAGCGCTGGCTGCTCTTCCAGAGGACCCAGGTCTTTCCAGCACCCACATGGCAGCTCACAACCATCTATGACTGCAGTCCCAGAGGATCCAACACCATCTTCTATGTGATGCATAGACATACATGCAGGCAAACACTCAGACACATCAAGTAATAAAATTGTAAAAAGCCCCAAAGTAAATAATAAATAAAATGACAGTGAGGTACCATTTCTTTGCTATCAGAGTGGCAAAACTGGTTTAGCAATGTCCTCTTCCAGTGTATCAGTCTGGGGAATGGAACTTTATATATTGCTAATGGGTGTCACAAAGTGTCACAGTCTCTGTGGAGAACAGTGCACAGACCCAGTTTGCTTTTGATTGAGCAGACACACTCCCAGGATCCTTTTATTGGCAAACAGAAAAGATATACGGGGTCAGGTGTGCTGACAAATACCTATAATCTCAGCACCTGGGAGTCTGAAACAGGAGGGTCACAGGCTAGCCTGGACACAGTGAGATGATGCCCTTAAAAGAAAGGGAAAAAAGCGATATGAAGCTATTGCTATGAAGCCACTGCTGTTGGAATTTGTTTCATAAAACATTAAAAACAAAGAAACTGCATTATACATGGCATGTAACTGTCAAGGAATATTATCCAGAATATGCTATGGGATGATACCAGGATACATTGCTTACTTTGAAAAATCAACAGTCAGGGTTGGCAGTGGTTACACACACCTTTAATTCCAGCACTCTGGAGGCAGAGGCAGGAAGATCTCTGAGAGTTCTAGGTCAACCAAAGCTGCACAGAGAAACCCTGTCTCAAAAAAAAAAAAAAAGCAAACAAAAAAATCAACAGTCCAAATGTGTATAATATGTTGCCTTTGGGGATGGAATGGCATTTAAGAAGCTGGGGCAAGAGGCTTTCAAGTTTGAAGGAGGATGAGGGAAAGGGAGGAAGGGTGAAGAGGAGGAGGAAGACGACGAAGAAGGAAACAACCATGAGGGAACAGAAGTAATGGTAGGAGACAGGCACAGGTGAAAGCTGGCTTCTCTGAGTATTTTGTTTTGTGAATTTAATTTGGGAACTATATAAAGCTTTATGACATCAAAAGATCAGATTCAACTAAAATGAGAAAAGCAGCCCTATAGAACAAAACAAAACAAAATCCAACTCATGAATTCAGCTCATAGGAATTATTTCAAGTGGCAAAAGCAAAGCTGTTTTCTGCACTTGTCATGCTATATAAAAGTTTTCCCTAAAGTAACAAAGAAATGCCAGGGAAGCTTAAATTGGGTTTAGTTTTAGAGTGAGTAGGCCAGAGAGATGGCTCAATGGATAAAGGTGCTTGAAGCCAACTGAAGAACCTGAGTTCAGTCCCCAGGACCCACATGGTGAAAGGAGAGAGTCGACTTCTACAAGTTGAGATCCCATCTCAAAAAAGAAAATAATAAGGGAAGCACAGTATAAAATCAAGTAAAGTCAATAAACATGAATTTTATGTTATTATGTGAGTTGTGCTTCAGTAAGATAGTTGAAATAGAAGGCAAGCACATTTGTTGTAAGCCTAAATTTAAATTGAGAATAACATTACAAACTATTTTTGTTGTTGTTCAAAAAGCTGTTTCACCTAAAAAGGCCTGGGGACAGTGAGTGACCTATAGGCACAGGAGCATCCTGGCTCTACAATGGGCATCTCTCTGCATCATTTCCAGCACCTTGGGCAAATGACAGAGTCCAGCTGGAGCCAAGAAATGGACTAAATAAATCTGGGATATCTTTTCACGGGAAGAAAGCCAGATCTTTATCAGAGATTTCTAGGTACATTCAGCAGCTCAGAAAAGGTATACCCAACAATCCAGGAACCAAACTGAAAAGGCTCTAGTGGCCAAAGACAGCTTGTTCTAAATATCAAAGAGTGATAGCTACAGTGAGTTGGCATTATCAAATATAATAAAATGTATAACTCCTTAATGATTTAAAGAGGGAAAGAATCTCACTAACCAGCTCTAAAAGGCACTAAAGAGTCATCTCATTGCCCTGAAAATTGGTAAATGAAGAGGAAAATCAGGCATTTTCTTCATCTTAACTGTATGCCCAGTTCCTGGGGGTGACCAAAGAGTTGATGAATGCTGATAGATGTTAATGGAAGCTTCTATATCCCAGCATCTAAAGAAAGAGTAGGTCTAGGCACTCACCCCAAAGACTGCTAAAGGCACTGTGTGCAAAGCTGTGCCAGCTCTTAACATCACAGTGAGCATTTGTGTGTCCCAAAGGTCCTCACCCTAGAGGATGGAACATGAATCTGATGAAGCCTCTAGCTCTAGCCGCAGTTTATAGGGGTAGATGACAAAGGAACATGCCAAACAACATCTGGATGCAGTCAGGAAAAGATTGTCTCTAGGGCATATTCTTACATGCCCTAGAAAGAAAGTATATGTCTATAGAATAAGCAACATGTTCTCCTTCACCACAAGTTGAAATGGAGGTGGAAAGAAAGGAGCAGACTCTGGACTGAGGAGATAAAGAGATGAGTGTAGTGTGTGGACTGCGCTTCCATCCCAGTCTGAACAAACCAACCGCTGAACCCACCTGTAACCCCAGAACTCAGGAGGCAGAGGCAGACAGATCTCTGAGTTTGAGGCCAGCCTCGTCTACAGAGTGAGTTCCAGGTCATCCAGGACTATACAGAGAAACCCTGTCTCAAGAAAGAAAGAAAATTTAGGGCTGAGGATGTATCTTATTGGTAGAACAGGTGTCTGCCAGGCACAAAGACCCGGTTTGTACCCACAGCGTAGCAAGGGAAAAGAGTAAGTTTAGGAGTATATACACAAGCCGAGCCATGGTGGCTCACACCTTTAATACCAGCACTTGGGAGGCAGAGACATCTGATCTCTCTGTGAGTTTTAGGCCATCCTGGTCTACAGAGCAGTGCTGGGACAGGCTCCAAAGCTATAGAGAAACCCTGTCTCAAAAAAAAAAAAAAAAGTATATACAATGCAAGGGGAGGAGTACTGTTTGTAAAGGGGAGCAGCCATCCAGCAGTAGGAAACACTCAAGGAGACCGGCTCATTCTTTGAAGGGATATAAAAAGAAGCTACAGAGTGAGCATCTACAACACGAAGGCCCCATAAAGAATAGGCAGAGTGGCAAGTGTTTGAAAGCATCATAAACTAGGGAAGGAATAGGTTACATGCTCAGAAGGGACCGTTTTTATGAGGCTTATCTGGCCCATTTCATGAATTTTCCACAGTCTGTCCTGTGAACTTTTTTCTGACTCTTTATTAATTTGGCAACTCCTGCTTTACTTGGTCACATCTTCTTCATGTGTCCCTTCTTTTACATTTCACTTTTAGAGACTGAAATGGGTCACGTGATAACAGCTCCCAGGTTTTGTAGTTGTAGTGAATTAGGAGGAAGCAGCCTACAAAATCCTATGTGCAAGGGAGCATCAGTTTTGATATGTGCTGAAAGGGGTAGCTGTGTCTGTGGTGCAGTAGTGGGCACAGGTGTGCTTGCCTGCACATTTCCCAAAATTAGTGTGGCTGTCTTCATAACCACGGGGGGAGGGAGCAGGACTGAGTGTCTCCCATCCCTTTCAAGTTCATGTCAATATCTCTAACGATATTAGGCCTTTGAGTGACTGTGTAGCTTATTCCTCCTGGGATGGTGGCATGTGGAGTTAGTGATAATGGCGGTGGGAAATGGATGCTTTAGGTTACAGTATGTGAGGAGAGCGTGTCTAGCTTCTAGGTGGAGGTAGGGGGTGTGGGGGATGCTTCCCTGTAGCCTCCTGCTATGCAGTGAGCTAACTGGGGTTATGGTATGTAGTCACTGAGGCCTAGGCCTCCATGGGCCACTCTGGATCAGGAGGGCCTACAGAGTTCTCAGCACAGCTAGAGCTCTGGCCACCTCCAAGGCTGCCAGCCTGCACAGGATCTCAAACCAGAGTGTTTGGTTCCATGTGACATGTCCTCTGGGTGTCTCCAAAGAGCTTGACTCCTCCTGTCACTGTCCACTGCCCCTTACATTTCTTGTGACGTGTACAATCATCCCCAAGCCTCCACCCTGCCCTGCCCAAAAAGAGGAATATTTTGCCATTCCCTCCTCCTAACTCAGCATCCCTTCTCCCTCCCTCCTTTCTTCCCCCTTCCCCTTTCCCTCTCTCGCCTACCCTCTCTTTCTCCTTTCCTTTCCATCTTTCCTATGGGCCCAAGTGAATCTCCTTAAACCCTATTAGTCATCTCCCCACCTCCACAGGAACTTAGGGTTCACCAACAAGTATACCCCAGTTCTGGCTGGTCTGACCTCTCCTCTTGGCCCTGTACCCTAATCACAGGAGTCTGCTTTTTCTTTCTCTTTTCTAGTAAAATTTTCTCTCCCATTCCTTTCCCACTGCTGTGTCACTGAATTTGCCTTCCTCCTCGCCCTGGGTGGTCTGACTCCCAGAATCCTCTCCAGCATTCTGTCTCCCATACCGGCTGGAGTTTTGAATGCTTTTGCACTCCGCTGGCACTGTCTTATCCCCTTGTTCCCAGATTGCAGGAACATAGTGGGCAGCAGTGAGTGGAGATGGATGACTGGATAACCTTCCAGAGAGCTTCCAGCACTCAGACATTAATCCTCGCTGAGTAGATCTCGTCCCTCCACTCCCACAGCCAAATAAAGACTAACCAGGCCTGCTTTCTCGGATTCAAGTCCTACTCAATAAAATCAGCAACTACCCAATTAAAAGGTCGGGGGAGGTGTACTGGAATGTGGATGGTGGCTTCCCAGGCCTATCACCAAGGCTATGTACCTAAGAGCCAACCAGCACTGTAGCCTATTGCGGTTTTTTTTTTGCTGTATTCCAGGTTCTCCAAACCAGCACCCATGTTCCTAGATGACTCCTTTCGAAAGTGGGCTAGGATCCGGGAGTTTGTGCCACCTTTTGGAATCAAAGGTCAAGGTATGTTGGGAACCCTTCAAACATTAAATACCCTGTTTGCCCATGCTGTTTCCCTATACTTCAAGACAGGACTTTATCCTTAGAAGTTCCGCACTGGGGGCTGGTGGGATGGCTCAGAGGGTGAAGGTGTTTGCTACTCAGTAAGTCCAGTGTTTGGAACCCACATCGTGGAAGGGAGAGCCAGTCATAATAAATTGTTCTCTGACTCCATGGTAACCATTTGTAAGTGGGTGTGCACACAAAATAAGTGTGTGTGTGTGTGTGTGTGTGTGTGTGTGTGTGTGTGTGTGTGTGTGTGTAGAGAGAGAGAGAGAGAGAGATTGTGGTGAAGTGCATACCTTTAATCACAGAAGTAGAGGCAGGTAGATCTCTGAGTTTGAGGCCAAGCTGGTCTACATAGCAAGTTCCAGGCCAGCCAGGACTATATAATGAGACCCCCATATCAAAACAACAAAACAGTCCCTTGCTGGAGATTGTTCCACTGGCTGGAGCTTTGTCTACTACAGTGATGTGTGTATACACTCCCTTTGTTCTAGCTCTAGTCTAGTGAAGGAGCAAGTACTCAGAGAAGCACCAGATCCAGTGTCATGAGGTTGCCAAAGAGATGCTCTAGAGACATTGTCATATATAGTGCTGCAGCTACTTGGAAAGGTTCCTAGAAACGACAGATAGACAGACAGACAGCACACAGGATCCTGTAATCCCTACCTAATGTCTTTCATGCTGACTTAGCCTCCTTCTAATCATTCTTTTTCTGTCCCAAGCTAACCTTTCTCTCTGTATCCAGCCCTTCAACATAGCCCTGCTTCTTTGTCAAGTGCCTGACTGTTTCTTGACTTGGTAGGAAGGTCAGGAAGGGTGTCAGATCCCTACACTTAACCTCTGCCTAGCTGTGACCTTGCAAAGCTTTCTTAATCTGTCTGTGCTTTGGTTTCCCTGTCAGCTAAATAGAAACCATGCTGTGATGTAAGGTTATGGTCAGAATTAAGACAAGAGCTGTTAAGGCATTTGGCCGGGAGACTTAGCCCTCTACTCTACTAGCCCAGCCCTCCCTGGAAAGAAGACAAAAGCTGGCAAAAATACTGTTGACCTGGGGCTCTGACCTCAAGCCTCCAATAGGCACATCCAATGGGTTAGTTTAAGTCATATGTAAACCTCCTTCCTCAGTGCTTGGATCCAGGCAGATGAGTCCTTCCTCCTAAATCCTCACTCAGGACTGACTGTGTAGCTCCAAAGGACAACAGAGTCCCCAGACAACAAGAAGAGAATGGCTCCTCACCAGTGCCCTTCTGTAAAAGGTTCCCGTTACAGACAGCAAAGCCCCATCTGTGTCCTTGGTCAACTGATAACAATGAGCTCTTCCTTTGGGGTAAATTCGGAGGTGAGACAAGAAGGGAATGAGAGATGTCCCCACTTTAAGGTGTATCTGGAGACACTCAGTGTAGAACCTTGTTAAAGGTTTGCTCCTCGGCCCATTCCCATGGAGCTAATGGAGAGCCTGCCCATGCCCCCCAGTCCCTCATCTGTGGGTCTGTGGGACGTAAGGGATACTTTCCAGTCATTCACTCACATGACCTCTTGCTGTACCTGAAGATAGGTAGGTAGGTAGGTAGGTAGGTAGGTAGGTAGGTAGGTGTGTGTGTGTGTGTGTGTGTGTGTGTGTGTGTGTGTGTGTGTGTGTGTGTGTGTGTGTCTGTGTCTGTGTCTGTGTCTGTGTGTGTCTGTGTTTAAGACACAGTCTTACCATGTCGCCTTAGCTGGCCAAGAACTTACAAAAATCCACCTGCCTCTGCCTTCTGTGTGCTGGGATAAAGAGCATGTGTGCCACCATGCCCAGTTTACTCCCTTTTAAAATTATTACTCGAGGGGCTGTGGTGTAGCTCAGTACGAGAGTGCTTACATAGCCTATGAAAGGCTGTAGGTTCAAGCTCCAGTAGAACAAAATCAAATAAAACAAAAAGACAAAGTTGTATGCTGTTTTTTTTTTCAAGTCCTTGCTACATGAACTAACATTAAAAAAAAATAATAATAATAGCCTAATACAATGAAGGGCTAGTGGCACAGCTGAACTGATAGAGTGTTTGCCTGGCGTGCATAAATTTGACCCCAGGACCACATAAAACTAGGCATGGAGGTCATGCCTGACATCCTAGTACTTGGGAGGTGAAGGCAGAAGGATCACAAGTTCAAAGCCACTTTTTCAGCTACAAATCAAGGTTGCAGCTGGATTCATGAGGTCCTGTCTCAAAACTAATAACATTAAGTAAAATAATATAATGGGCACCATGCACTGTCTTCCTAATGGTGGCGCTGGAGAGATAGCTCAGTGGTTAAGAGCACTGGCTGCTCTTCCAGAGGAACCAGTTCAATTCCCAGCGCCTACATGGTGGCTCATGACTGTCTGTAAGTCCAGTCCTCAGGCATCCTATGCCCTATTCTGGCCTCCATGGGCACCAGACACACAGAGGGTTGCAGACTTGCCTGAGGACAAAACACCTCTATATAGAAAAAGAAAAGAAATAAACCCTGAGCTACGAGAGAGCTTCTGGTTGCTCTCCCGCCCACTAACCCTCCCCAGCACCGTTATCCTTATTTTGATGTTGACATTTAGTGTTTCTTTGCCTTGATTTTTATTTTTGCTACATACTTACATATCCATTAAACATAAATCAGTTTTTCTTTATGGGGCATGGTGATGAATGCCTTTAATCCCAGTACTGGGGGCTTTCAGAGGCAGGCTGATCTTGAGTTTTAGGCTAGCCAGGCTTTAGACACTCTCTCAAAATAAATATGTATGGATCTATGTGTGTGTTTGTGTGTTGATTTCTTTTAAGTTTTTAAAATTCTCGTGTATCATATATGTGTGTATGTGTACATTCTTTAAAACGGTACTTTGCATATATATTTTAGCTTTATCTGTATTGGTACATACAGCTATATATCATTGATGGGTTTTTTTGTGTGTTTTGTTTTTGCTGTTGTCATTGTTGTTTTACTGACGGTAGCAGTTCATGTTCCACATGCAATTTTCCTTTGGTGGCTGTTTTAACTGCCTCTAGCATTTTTGCAATTGCAAACGGTTCTGCGATTAAGATTCTCTCAAGTGTCTCCTTGTGTGAACATTTCAGTGCTGGGCCCTTGGAGGATAGCCACGGGGTTCTATGTGTGGACATCGTACCCTTATTTTATTACATAGATGCTTTCTGTCATGGTAGTGCCAAGCTGTTTGACTATAGACCTTCATATACATCGACCCAACACCTCAGCCAAGTAGGAATTGCCATCGTTTTTTCAGAGGCAGGAAAATGAGCCCAAAGGAAGGTGGCCATTTGTGGCAGGTCACCAGGTCTTATGTAGCAGAACCAGAGTCTGATGTAACCAGCAGCTCCTTCTCTGTTATAGTAGAATGTTCTTACTGCGCCCGAGTTTAAAGGAGAGCAGTCATCCAAAGGCCAAGGTGACGAGATCTGAATAGTGGTTCAGGCTTGGAGAGCAGAGGTCTCAGGGTCCTGGCTGACAGTAGTGTGTGGAATACTGGTGGGTAGATGCCCTGGCTGCAGGGTGTGATGGGTGAGGAAGAAGAGGCAGCCTGACAAAGAGCAGAATTGGGATGGGCAGTACACAGTGGGGAAAATGAGAAGACTGTACTTGAGTGAACTCTTCGGCCATTGTTGTCTGATTTGTCCCCTGGACTCTGCTTCATGAGCCACAGTGGTAAGCCATCAGTGGTCTATCTCCATTCCAAACAAGGCCCTGGCCCAGGGATACATGTCCTCGGGTCTAGCTATGGGGAAACCAGGTGAGTCTCCAAGGAAGGTGGAGGATCCTGGGAAGAAGGTACATATTGTGGTTAAAGCCTGGCTAGATTTGCCTACTTCCCGACCTCCATCTCCTGGCTCAAGGGAAAAGTGAAAACAGTGGCCTGGCCCACCCTTGTGACTGCAGCTCCCTCTACCCACACCCACCTCTTCTCTATCCCCAGTCCTGAACCTCCCAGGAAGATTACTAGCAAAAAATATTTTCTGGTAATGTAAGTGACCCACTAACAGTAACCTTCCTCCTCTGTCCACAGACAACCTGATCAAAGCCATCTTGTCAGTCACCAAAGAGTACCGCCTGACCCCTGCCTTGGACAGGTAAGCCTGCCACCTTCTCCCTGGCTCTCTGCCATGAGCAGAGGTGCTGTAGCCCAGCTGCTCTTTGCTGGGTTTGGACAGGTTCTCTACCATACCTCCCAGTGCACACACAATACACACACTGTGGGCAGAGTGTATAAGTAGGACAGCTCTTCTGGACATGTACCTGCCCAGTAAAGCTCTTTGCAAGGCTTCTCAGGCCTCAGACATCACTGGTTTGGGAATAAGAACTGATGATGGGGAGTGCTGGTAAAGGCAGCTATCAGGGAACAGAGCTTAAGTCTGAGGGAATGACAGCTCTGGAGCCCACAGACCCAGGAGGGAAAGCCTCAGGTCAGGGTAGGAGACAAGAAGCCAAGTGAACACAGACCCAGGAGGGAAAGCCTCAGGTCAGGGTAGGAGACAAGAAGCCAAGTGAACGAGACTGTCAGGAGCTACTGAAGCCGAGAGGCTTGAGTTGAAATTAAGCCCGGTCTTGAGTCCTGAAGCACCAAGTTTTGTTTTCCTGTCCTTGCTCTTCTGAGAGATCGGCAATCTTCCCTGTCCCCTAAGGTCACCAAGCCTCATTAACCCACAGGGAGCCTGTACCCAGAACACAGTCTTACCAGGACCCCCTCCTTGCCCCCTGAGCCTGTCCCCAGGCATCTCCTATGTTTTCTTAAAAGTGTCAGACATCAGCAGTGATGAGTGTCCCAGGGTCCAGCTCCCCAAGGCACAGCACTGAGTGTCCCAGGGTCCAGCTTCCTGAGACACAGCACTGAGTGTCCCAGGGTCCAGCTTCCTGAGGCACGGCACTGGCCTCCTTCCAGAAGTGCTGCATGGACAGGGCCAAAGCCACAGTAGAGTTAAAGGCAAAGATACAAAGGGAAACAAAGCTGAGGGATCACCTTCACAGGCCTCTGCTCTCTCCCCTCAGCCTCCACTGCCGCCGCTGCATCATTGTAGGCAATGGAGGGGTCCTTGCCAACAAGTCTCTGGGGTCACGAATTGACGACTATGACATTGTGGTCAGGTGAGCTCTCTTGAAAACACCTTGGGCACGTGCATGTTGTGAGCCCTGGGAATTGAGAACTGTCTCACCATCTGGTCACCTAGCCTGAGGGTTAACAGAAGCCTCAAGAATGCTGCTGGGTTGGCAGATTTTAAAATTAATGAGTATGTGGCCTGGATTTCTACTGTGCACCTGGGGTGCTTGGGGTTCAGGGTACCTCCCCAAACACAGGCCCAAGGCCAGCTCTGACTGCACTGGCTCTTTGTAGACTGAATTCAGCACCTGTGAAGGGCTTTGAGAGGGACGTGGGCAGCAAGACCACCCTGCGCATCACCTATCCTGAGGGTGCTATGCAGCGGCCTGAGCAGTATGAACGAGACTCTCTCTTTGTCCTTGCTGGCTTCAAATGGCAGGACTTCAAGTGGCTGAAGTACATCGTCTACAAGGAAAGAGTGGTGAGCTCCCTGCTGCAAGCATCCCGTCTCCTGCCCCCAGCACCCCAGCTTTCCAGGCCCTCCTTCCCACTGGACTCCACAAAGAACAAATAGGAAACTTCAAAATGACCCAAAACTAAAAGACAGCAAATCCAGCAAGGGTCAGAGGCCAAACGATGGCAGGGTCTCTAGCAGGCTCCTGGAGCCGAAATGCCTGCCCTCTGCTATCTACCTCCAGATAGCCAAGAGCTGGTGCTTTCTCAGCTTCGAGTCTCTAATGCCTATGGCCAGCCCCAGGGGGTCTCCCAGCTTTCACAGACTCCTGCCCTGGTCTGTAGCTGCCTCCCTGACCCCGCTTCCTTTCCATGAGGCCATTCCGACTGCTCTTACAGCCTTACCTCCTCCTCAACAGAGAAAGACAGCCTTCTAGAGACCCCAGGGCCATTCTACAGGGACAGTGGACCTCAATCCAAGGGTGCCAGCTCCCAAACTCATGAACCCAGACCGTTTTTCTGCCTCAGATTTCACTGCTAGCCTGTCAGTTGGTCTCCAGCCTGCCACTAAGTCTCGTTCTCCTCTTTGGGTATGATCAGATTCTGTGCCGACTGCTCTAAGTTGGCCAGGGTCTGGGCCCATGTGTTCAGGGAGTGTATGTGGTAGCATAGGGTCAGATTGCCCATCAGTAGATCACCCGCTGGGGCCCCTCTTAGATCCTGTTTCCCAGTTCTGGGCCTGTGGGAACACCTGCCAACGTGTCTGACTCTCTCCCACCCTTGACATCTCCCTCCAGCCCTCATCAGCCGCCCAGGGGAGGATGTGCAGGCCCCAGGCCATTCATCTCCCGGTGCCCAACCCTCTTCCTGGAGACTGATGATGTTAGACCCCCGAAAACTCAAGTATCCAGGGTCCCAGGCCACTTTCGCGGTCACCCCAATCACCAGGCAGATTCGAGAGCTTGCTGCAAACTGCACGAGGCTTTATTGTAATTTAACGAGCTAACCCCATGTTACCTCAGGTCTTTCACCCACCCACCATGGCGGATAGCTAGAAAAGACAGTTTGAAGCCGCTGCGCACAGATCTTTATAGGGCAACGTAAGGGGAGTGTCTAGGGGTACGCACAGGCTCAGGATTGGTGTGCCTCCAGGCTTGGAGGGCTTGCCCTGTGTTGATTGGTCAACTGGTTGTTATGGCCCATAGGCCCTCCCAGTGTGGTTGCTATGCTCTCTCTGTCATTGCTGTGCGATTGTCCATAAAGCACACCCAGGGTCGTAAAGCATAGCGCCACCAGCTAACTTCCGATTGGTTCCTTGTCCCAAGACAGGCATCTGACTTTCTAGTGACTAACTTCTGATGGGTTCCTTGTCACAAGACAGGCATCTGACCTCTAAGTGACCAAGGCAGGTTTATGGCAAGCACGTGTTCGGCTGTTATGGCTGCCGAAAGGGAAGCTGGTCCCTTCAATAACAGATTGCCCACTGCCTTCAGTAAGGAACTAGTTCTTTTAGGTTTAGAAGTTGAGGGTGAGAACAGCTTAGCCTGCCTGTGAGGGTCTCAGGCAATTTGGTTTGACTCCACAGCTCCTTCCAAGCAAGGCCAAGTGCAGGCAGTGTCAAGTAGGTAGTGTTAGACCCCTGGAAAACACAGGTATACGGGTCCCAGGCCACGACCGCGCTCACCCCAATCACCAGGCGGATTCGAGAACTTGATGCAAACTAGCAAGCAAGAGAGAAGACAGAAGTCAGGTCCAGAAGCTCAGGTAGGTGGGGCAGCAGGGAAGGGAGCCCATCTCAGAGCCAGGCTGAGCGAGGCAGCTGGCTATGTTGGGTGCAGCCCAGATCTCCAAAGGGAAGGAAAGGGCAAAGAAACAGGTGATTGGTTTTGCTTCAAGCAAGCCTCTTGTCTAACAAACTAGGGAGGAATGGGGCTGGGGGAGGACCCCTCTCTTTTTACAATTCCTACAGCCTTTCTGTTTGCCTTAAACTAACAGGCAAGCACTGCAGAGGGAGAAATGGGAATGAATTGGGCCTGCCTTGGTGCACCCTTCTCATATATGTTCTCTGCTCGTCAGCCCACACGCTGCTGGCCCATAGATACCTAAAAGTCTTCATGGCTTTCTCAGGGCAGGAGAGCCACAGGGTAGGGCTCCGATCCCACAGGGCTTCCCCCATGGTGCCCAGTCACTATACATCATCTGGAATTAGCTTAAACCAGTTCCTGTGTCCTGAGGGGCAGTCCAGATCCCTTGGGGACAGCAGACCAGTTGGTTATGGTCACCTTTGCCTCCAAGAGCACCAAGGTCAGTGGAATCAAAGCTCTTTCTGTCTCCCGAAGGCAGGAAGGAGAGTCAACAGAAGTAGGGAGAGTTGCTCCCAGGAAAACCAAGGAGCTTGCCACTTGGTCTGGTTGCCTGGCTTTGGCAGCCATTAGATCCTGACACAGTTGATGAGGCAGTGAGAGGGGTGCTCAGGCCCTCACTCAGCCCTGTCCTGGGCACACATGGCCAGCCTGAATCAGGGAGACACCTTCTGAGTGTGATGGGGAAAGGGAAGATGGCAAGAAATCTTCTGAAGTCATGTGGGCTTTCTGTGGTACCACAGTCAATGATTGCTTTGGACTTCGGAATGATCCACCAGTAACACCAGTAATATTCGCGCCTTTCTCAGCATCCCAAGTGTCTTAATCAGTGTTCTGTTTGAAGGGACACAGTTACCACAGGAACTCTTATAAAAGAAAGCATTTTATTAGGGCTTGTTTACAGTTTCAGAAGTTCGGTCGGTCCATCATCAACATGGTGGGAATCAGGGCAACATGTAGGCAGATACGGTGCTGGAGAAGGAGCTGAGAGTTCTACATCCAAATCCGCAGACAGCAGGAAGAGAGAGAGCTATTGGGCCTACCTTGGGCCTTTGAAACCTCAAAGTTCACCCCCCAGTGACACACTTCCTCTAACAAGGCCACACCTCCTAGTCCTTTCAAATAGTGTCACTCCCTGGTGACCCATCATTCAAATCTATGAGTTTAGGGGGCCCATTCTTTTTGTTGTTGTTGTTGTTGTTGTTGTTGTTGTTGTTGTTGTTTTCAAGACAGGGTTTCTCTGTGTAGCTTTGGAACCTATCCTGGCACTCGCTCTGGAGACCAGGCTGGCCTGGAACTCACAGAGATCGCCTGTCTCTGTGCTGGGATAAAGGTGTGTGCCACCAACGCCCGGCTTAGGGGGCCCACTCTTATTCAAACTACCACACCAAATGCACTTCCAGAAGCCCATTCTTGAGTGCCCCTCCCCCAAGCCTGAGGTTTGTGCCCTCCTGAGACATCCCTAGGCTGCTCATCACTTCCCTGGCCTCTCTAAGACCCAGATATGGTAGATGTAAACCAGGTTGCCTTTCCCAGTCCTCCTTCTGAGGCTCAGCCACGGGCTTGGTCCACTCATGCAGTGATGTTTCTAGCTGCCCCTCACTGCTGGCAAGCTCTGTACCTGTCTAAGAGTTTCACCTGCAGAAATCTGGTAGGAGATGGCTCTGCTCCAGGGCCAGAGCTGGCTGGCTAGGGCTGGGGTGGGCAGGAAATACCTCCTGGGAGACACTACCTAACAGAAAGGGCTAGAAAGGAACAAGTCAGGCTTTGCAAACAAAAAGGGCCTTCGTGTGGAGACCCCAGGAGGCTATGCTCCGTTTAGGACACGCTAAGACTATATGGAAAGTGCATATAGCCATTGACATGTCAGAATATGAGGCCAAGTGTCTCAGATGCCATCGCCTGTTTTTATCCAGGCCCTAAATGAAGACTGGAGATGATAGGACATGTGAAGGACAGAGCTGTAGGGGAAGCTGTAGCCACGCCTACTTAGGGGCTGGCTACAGGTGTGCCTGACCATGCCCTCGAAAGCTTGCGAGGGCAGGTCAGGGGAACGTAGGGTGACTGTGTTTTCACTTTTGGTTCTCTTTTGGGCTTGCATAGACTACTGCCATGCCGACTGACTAGGTCGCTCTGTAAGGCTTTTCCCTATTAAATACCCTTATATTTCTACCTGACTCCGTATTGGTAATATCCCACTATATCTGGTGTCAGACATTTTCTTCCTACAGGACCCCACCTGACTATCATCGTCCCATTTCAGCAGGAAGTAACTTGGAGAATGCTACGCCCCCTTTCCCCATTGTTGTCACTTAGGATAGTGTATATATCTAGCTAGGGATAGCTTCCTATTGTTTATGGTTGGGATTGGAAGGAGGTGTTCAGGCTTGGCCACCTCTTTCAGATGACTTTAGGTTTTAGTTAAAATAGATAGTTATGATGTGACATAAGCAGATTGTTGTATCTTCTTATATTTTACCTTTATGATTGTTAATTTTGGATACTTTAAACTGTTAAGTTTTAATCCTCTTTTAGACTAAAAGGGGAATTGTAGGGGAAGCTGTAGCCACGCCTACTTAGGGGCTGGCTACAGGTGTGCCTGATCACGCCCTCGCTAGCCTCGCAAGCTTGCGAGGGCGTGGTCAGGGGACATAGGGTGACTGCGTTTTCACTTTCAGTTGCTCTTTTGGGCTTGCATATAGACTACTGCCACGCCGACTGACTAGGTCGCTCTGTAAGTAAGGCTTTTCCCTATTAAATACCCTTATATTTCTACCTGACTCCGTATTGGTAATATCCCACTATACAGAGCACCTCATCTGATCACTCAGGCCGCCACCTTGTGCTCCTGCCAGTCTTCCCAGCTGCGCCCCCAGGATGCCAGGTGGCCCAGGGCTACAGACCCCCCTTTCTTACCCATCATCTTCCCAATGACACTGGGAAGCTGACATCTACTGAGAAGACCCTGTCTGGACCAGCCCATTGTGGCTATGGTCCCAACATGAGAGGGAAGGGAAAAACTAAGGCATAGGTTTGACCATCCAGTGGTGCATTCTTTCCCTGGGGAAGGAAGGAGGGCAGGATTTCAGAGGCCAGGCTCCCACATTCATGCTCAAGAGGTGGCTTCTGCTTGCTTGCTTGCTTGTTTTACATAGACTGGCCTGGA